TTCAACATGTGCTCCACATTTGTAATGGTGGGGTGAGAAGGAAGTGCGCATGATAGTTGCCTTTTCTCCTATGCAACTAGGAATAGAATACAATGTTTCCCTCACCCACCTCCAGGTTTGTTCATCTTACTTAAAACCTCTCGATAATTACATTAATTATTTTTAATTAGTATTGTCTTTAATAACAGGAAAGTATTATTTGGTAGACGCTGGATATCCGATGTTAAGAGGCTACCTGAAGTCATATCCAGACACAATATACCATATTCCTGATTTTGAGCGAGCAAGTGGCAATATTTGTGGCAGAAAAGAAATGTTTAACAAACGACACTCCGCTTTACGGGGGGTTATTGAAAGAAATTTCGGGGTGTGGAAGAAGAAATGAGTAATTCTACGTGATATGCCATCCTATTCATTTCCTAAACAAGTGTATATTGTGTTGGCCACCATGACACTTCACAACTTCATCCGACGTCACCCCTCTCATTCAGATACGGACTTCAATATGGCTGATGATGATGAAATTATTGACACTCTAGAACCTTCAGGATCTCTAGCTGATAATGAGATGAACTCGATTGAATATGAAACTCAGGACGGTGAGGGTGCAGTTGAGATGGCTACTCTGAGGGAGTCTATAGCAGATGCTATATATGATAGCTAATCCAGCAAGTCTTTTCTCTGTTCCTAAATTTACTTTTATTTGGATAAGTACTAACAATCTTTTTTTTTTCACAGTTATAGAAACATGACTTCTAGGATATCAAGTATAGATAGAGGTTTTTTGTGTTATTGTGGTCTACCGGCTCCGTTGCTCACATCGCGTCAGTCTGATAGCTTTGGGAGGCAGTTCTACGGTTGTGCCAAGGGTGTTTCAGCTCGTTGTCGCTTCTTCCGGTGGGCTGACAGTCCTCATATGACACGATCAGCAATCATGGGAATCCGATGTTTTCTCACTTTGACATTGCAGATGAGGCCAGACGTAGCCAGAGTCTGAAATTAAACATTTTAATATTTCTGATTGTAGCTGTACTCGTATTTGTACTTTTTTAGTTCTCTTGGTACTCATGAGGGTGTGAGAAATGTATGACATCTTTTAGTTATGATCTGTGATGATTTCATATTTCTGCATATGCTCCAGTACTACCAATAAGCTATTCTGAATAAGCTGCCCCAAACAGTTTTATCACAAAGGGGCATGAATGTCATTTAACCACCATTATGTTGAATAAGCTGCCCCAAATAGCAAGACAGATTATTCTGATAATCTGCTTATCAGATTATGAATAATCAACAGCTGCGTCAAACAGACCCTTAAATGAGCCTCCAATTTGAGGCCAAAGAATATTGCACACTTACAAATCAGAACCGTGGTAGGGGTACATTGGCAAGAAACTTCGCGTTATCATTCATTCTCCGCTTAATATCAGCACAGGCAGTACTTACTCCTTCCCCCTCTACTCTCTTTCCCATCGCATAAACCCTCGCGCGACCTCTACGGTTTAGGAAGCCGGCTTTGTGAGCTAGTAGAAAATGGAAAATCTTGCTCTGGCGTCCAGCAAATTCTCTGTCGTCGCCGGTTTACCCTCTGCTAACGATATTCGAATCCGGCGATGGCCAGCATTTCCATTACTTTCTTTGCCGGCGGGCGGGAAGGGAATTCGTAGATCAAGAGTCTCCCGTTTCCTTGCTTCGTCACTTGGACGCGAGAGCCGCGACGAAGCTTCGCTGAGAGTTTCGTGGACAGGGACCTGTTTATGTTCTTTTGGGAATTCGGATGTCTGGAGGTTTATTTTTCCATAGGGGTTGTTTTGCTTCAAATAGGATTCTGTAATCACTTTAAAACAGGATTTTATACACCTGTGAGGATTTACTGAAAACTGTTTGACGTTATCGTTGTTAATATTGGTTGGATTCTCACAATCTGTTTGTGCTTATTTCAGGATTTAGAGATTTATATGATTGTGGGTTTCACCACTAAAACTTGAATGAAGAAACCATTCCCTCCATTGTCAACAATGTTATTACAACTTACCAATGGTGCATGTTAACAAAATTTTCTGTTAGTGGAGTGCACATATTTTAAAATTTTTGAGAACTTATTAAAGGTTTGTTTGGCTGGATGTTTTTAAAATTCTTGCTTTTTAGAGATGTGAGGTTATTTGAATGTATTCATTTAAAAAATGTACAAGTTGTGTTGGATGCAAATTAAATCCATTGAAATATGTTTTTGTGTATGCCATGTTATTTAAAATAAGAGCCAGGGGGTGGTGACTAGGGGCGGTGGGGTTGGGATCCTGGAGCCGTGGGTAGGAAGTTTGAGTTCATCCGATGTGAGTTCTCTTGCATTTAGAATTCACTTGTTTTGGGCAAATTCTAAATTCGTCAAAATTGGACATTTTGGGTTATTCTAAATCTTCTTTATAAATGCTTTATATTTGATTTACTTCAAACCAAATACCACAAAATATATAAATAAATGAAAATGAAAACCTCTTTTTTGTTCATAATGCTTTCAACTAAACAATCTTTTCTTGCAAATATGAACATATTTACAAAATCACTTCTCTACCTTTATAATTCAACCATTCCGACTCTATTATTACTCATGAATAGCCCGTAGATGCATAATAATCTTAGTAAAATATCATAATATAAATTAAATTCAACAAAAAAAATCATTCTTAATAAACCTAATATAGGTGTAAGAGAGCGATTATAAAAATATTGAAAAAGAAGCATGAAGCTTAATTAAGGAGCAAAATATATGCAAAAGAGGAAAAAAATAGACTAGAAAAGCAATTAGCAATGCTTGAAAAAGCCTAAGTACCAAAGATTGTTAAAAACATAAAACTAAAACTGAAATATTATCATAACTAAACATTTTAAGACTTAGATATAAAAAAAACTATAATTTAATAAGAAAATATAATGTTTATACTTTTTGCTTTTATATAACCAAACTTGTAAACCATGACCTTTTTGAATTTCTGCTCCATAATAGCATAGAATTTAAGGCACACAAATCAAGCCTTTATACCATTGGTTTTGTTTACACATGACCTTTGGATAACAAAGAACTTGAGGCATAAAAATCGAGACTCTATGCCATTAGATCTATCTCTCTATGACCCTCAGATTGTAATCAATATGTTTTCCCAAAGGACTGTCGGCCCCTATTTATTTTTCTTCTTTTTTTGGTTTTATTTCAATTTTAGAATGCCTATGGGAGGTGTTTGTATATATACATACATACATATATATATATATATGTATATATATGTATATGTATATATATATGTATATATATCTTTATTGTGCAAAGAAAAATGAAGACTTGACAGTTTCTTCCATTATTTTATTGAACATGGTGTCAGAGTAAGCTTAGGGTTTTCACTTTTAGTCTTTATTCTTATTATTAAAGGTTAAAATTTTCACTTCCAACTTTTATTTTTATTCACAAAGGTTAGGATTTTCATTCTAGTATTTGTTCTTATTCTCTAAGGTTAGAGTTTTCACTTCTAACCTTATTCGTTTTGCTGATTTGTCCTTTTATTCACTATGTTTGAATTCTTTGAAATCTCTGCCATGATTAATGACGAAAATTAGACCGAAGAAGAATTTCAGGTATTTCAAGCATCTTATCGCTTGAATGAAAAAAAAAAAATCATCTTACATGGTCCAAAATCGTGGAGATATTTTTAAATAGAAAGGGACATATCAAATAACTTGTGGATCCAACTTCGTAGCCTAAATACCTAAATTTGTTACTTTGAGAAGATATTGATCCCTTGACCACGAAACGATTGCGAAATACTATGCTACTGGAGATCAGTGGACCTTCTTATTTCTCTCGCAACAGAAATATGTTATGGACTTATTGAAAGAAACTAAGATGACATAATGCAGGCCATGTGAAACTCCAATTGAGTCAGGACAAAAAAAAAAGATTTTGAATAAATAGCTTATGTAGATACTAGACAATATCAAGAGAAATCACCTGGTCGACATATTTGTCATGACTAGACCCGGGCTTGAATTCTTCAAAATGGGAACATTGATGATAATAATTAAATTATTTTATTTCATGTTCTATAATTAACATTTAAGCATCCCAAATAAATGAAAGAACCACTATATATTTAAAATTTAAATTAAGCAAATGATAAATTTACTTTAGGTTTGTTTATCCATGTCTTTTATGTATATTCCATTTTCATTTACTCATATTTAAATAAAAGCGTAAACCTGAAAAGTAAATTTAAAACAATAGTGAGCTACAAAAGCCAATGAGTATTTCTACTTCTTAATTATGGTAAAAAAAATGAAAGAGAAAAGAATATGCATGTTAGTCAGAAATATTATAAATCAGTACAAAAATAGTAAACTTGTAGATGTGATTGTTCATGATGGTTCAAAGCATTCAATGTGTTTTATTGTAATAGTTACACATATATTTTTTATGTGTATAAACAACTGTCACATGAGTTTTGTCTAATATTTTGTCATTTATGGTACATTAATATCAATAATTTTTTTTTTGTTTATGTGTGCGAGTATCTTAGTGTCCCTCAACTAGTATCAGTTCATCATATCAACATATACATGCAGGCAAATAAAATAGTTAATCTTATTCTTATTTTTACAACATTCAATCTATAATATAAAACTTTGAATTATGCGATAGATTGACATATACAAAGATTGATAATATACAATTCAATATGACCAAATAAACTTAAGTAGATAAATAATTTGTTTTTAATATTATAGTATAAGATTTATCAGAATAAATAGCATCATGTATTAGTTTTAGAAAAAGTCTAATATTACTATAATTTAAAAGTACAAATAATCACCTTGAACATTTCACTATTCTCGAGTCTAAGTTGTAACTGCTTCAGTTGAACATCTATAATATAAAAAACTTGTTAAATTAATATCATATTACTTAATTATACTTTTGTTACTCTTTAATTACTAAAAATTTTCTTATTAGATCATTTTAACTATAAGGTTATAATCCTTCAATTTTAAGTTTAATTGTGTTATTTTATAATTAATCGTATGAATTTAAATAATTAAACATTAATTTTTTTTTCTTTAATCACATTATTTAATTATGCTTAATTAACCTTTAGGAATCATATAATTTAAATTACCAATTAAAATTTTTTAAGTTTAATATTTAATCTTATAGTTCTTATTCAAATATATGGCTTAAGTTATAAATTTTATTTTGTTTTATTTTATTTTATTCCTTTTACTCTATTATATGTTAAATTTAAATACCTATCTCAAAATATAAATTAAACCCTTTTAAATTTTAATATTTTCAAATTAATTACATTATTATTATTTTTTCTACTTTTATTATTGTTATTATTATTATTATTATTATTATTATTATTACTATTATTATCATTATTATTATATGGGCTTCTAACAATTTCATAATTTCAATAAGATTATTGTTCATTTTTAAATACTAATTTAACTTTCTAACTATCATATTTAAAATTTATCTTTTTAAATAATATTTTAAGATGTATTAAATGTATATTTATTTTAGCTATCACTCATGCCTCATTAAAAGTTGCACTAATGTAGAATATTGACACTATAAAAGAACCTAACCTCATAGAATTCATTTATCGTGAAAATCCACCATTGATCTACTTGCGAGTTCATAGCTCATTCCATGTCTTCATCGCCGATCGCATGGGTAGGTGCTCCTTCGATCTCCAACTTGTCAAATCATCTCAACTTTGCTTTTATTAGCACATTCTCTAATTATTCCCACGTTCTCTACTCTCTCGCTTGATTTGTTTTCTTCTCTCCCCTCTCACCGTCAATCAAACCCTCAAGGCTATCGAGTTCGCTTGTGTCATGTCGTCTTCCTCTCTCGAGCTACTTGACGATGCCTTATTTCTTTAGCCTTAACTTGTCATTGAACCGAGTTCATCTATTACGACTCCGCTCGAAACAGAGGTAAGGGTGCTCGCTCGATCTTCCCTCCTCACTTTGTCTGTCTCCTCTTAAATCATTGCAAGAGTCCCTCTCTTCATCCTCTGAGAGCACTCTAAAATTCAAATTTAAGCTTTTCATTAATTAATCTATTGTCTTTTTCGATAAGATTCATATTATGTATTCAAAATCTTGTTATTGGTTTCACTTTTGTTACAACCCGACTTGGAGCTTATAATTTCCCAAGATGGATAATTTAAATTTTATATTTTCATGTTCTATAACTGTTCTATAACTGATATTTAATTATTCCAAAATTATTGAAAGAGCAACTACAAACTTAAAAATTAAACTAAGCAAATAATAAATTTACCTTAGCTCAATTTGTTCATGTCTTTTATGTACATTCCCTTTTCTATTACTCATCTTTAAATAAAAGTTTAGAACTAAAATGTTAATTTAAAATAGCAGTGAACTAAAAAACCAGTGAATACCCGTACTTCTATATTATAGTAACAAAATTAAAGAGAAAATAATACGCATGCTTGTCAAAAATACTATCAATCATTACAAAAGCAGTAAACATTCATTTGTGATTGTTCGTGATGGTTCAAAGCATTCAATGCATTTAATATAACAGTAACATATACATATCCTTTAATGTATAAACAACATTCACTTGAGCATCGTCCAAAAATTATGCTAATTAAGGTACATCAATATCAATAACCTTTTTCATTAAATACAAACATACCTTAGCGTCCCTCAGCTAGTACCATA